TTTTTTTTTTTTTAAGGCGACATGACCATTTTTTAATCTCTTTAAATATAGTGTTTTTTAGTTTAATTTGCCTTATTACATCTAATCATTGCCATTTGATGGCATGTATAGGGGAGAGTGTGTGTGTTTGCATATATATATATATATATGTAATATATATATTCACAGAATGTGTTTAGCATTTATTTTATTGCAACAGGTTTAATGTTTATATTACGTGATRCCAGTGAGTTGTGTGAAACTGTTGGCTTTTTTCCCAGCATTACTCTTAACTGATGAAGGTGGGTGTTTATTATACTTCAACTATTTATTGCTTCTGAAGATAGAATGATTGAAATCTCAGTTTTTTTCCTCCTYTTCATCCTTTTGGCCTAACATTTCCTCGAACTGCCGGAGGCTGAAAGTAGATAGAATTATATTGAATGTATGATACAGTGATCAGCCACAGTTCTTAACTGCATAAAGAACAAAAGTCATACAAGTTGATCACTTTGTACTTCATGTAGAAGGTACATAGAGACATTGCAAAACCTGCCTCCATTTTCTACCTGATAATTAGGACTTTCATAATATCTAGGAAATGTCTCCAATCTTGATCATCCTAGTTTTGCCAGATATAGACACTAGCATTTAAAATAATGGTCCAATCTAAATATTTTTCACCCTCATTTTGAAGGAACGTTGATCTTTGATTGATAAGAAGTAGTTCTTGTCTCTTGTGATTAATTTGCAGGTGATCAATGACAAAAGAATTCTAATTTATTTTTGTTTCCTGCAGAGATTGGGGAATCATCTAGGTGGTAGAGCTCTTGTCTAGCATAGCAAGGCCCTGGGTTTGATCCCCAGCTCTTCCAATTAAAACTAACAAAAAACAACAACAACAAACAAAAACTAATTTATTTTTAGTTCCTAAAGTTTCTTAACTTCGTTTGAATATTGTTTCACATTCCTTTCCTTTTTAAATAACCACACTTGCTTTACAAAAGATTTAATGATGGAATATAGTCTCTTCACTAATGTAAATGAGAACAAGAATATTGCTGGAACAGGAAGTAGTATTTAAAAGTTACTGAACATTTTCTCTAGTTTTTATTAGTTATGGCCTTAATAATTAATTAGTCTTTTGGCTTAAATGTCTACTGGTTTACCTTAACACAGTTGAAAAACACTGGGGTTAACACTCTATTTGTATTGGCAATATATATTAACTATATTTTAAAAGAACTAGGTTGGTCTTTTTTTATGGAAAAGGTAAAATTCAAAAAGAGACAGTGTACTCCTTTTGAGGGATTTATTAATTCTTAGATATAATATATGATGGATTTTTTTCCTCTTTTATATATATATTTCCTTAAATATGATGGCTACTAGTTCAAATTTAGAATTTTTTCTGCATGTTTTTGTAGCTAGTCTGATCTTTGAAGAAGACGTGGACATTTCATTTCATTAGCTGAATGAAGACATTTTAAATTAAAAGAAATTTTGTTTTAAACTTGAGAATAAATTCTTTTGAAAATCACCTGATTATTAAATGATTTTTATTTTTAAAGATAAGAAGTTTTTATTAGTCTATGGTAGACATCTCCTAAAAGTGCAGCTCAGATATCTACAGGTTGTGTATTAAATATTTTTATTTTCAGTTTTGTAGCACAGCATACTGATTAGTATATGTAAAGAATTATCCATATCAACCTTATTTTTTTTCCCTTTTAAAAAAAAAACTTTCAGATGTCCCTTGAATGGCATATCTTAAATGTTGGGGGTTGGGGGGTCAGAACCATTTATCCGGCTTTCTAGTTTGTCCATTGCTTAGGTTTGTTACTGTTGTCAGAATTGTCCCTCCAAAAAAYGGTGACACATGCTCTTGCATAAAATGTTAAAATATGTACATCCTTGTATTTGTATTTGTTTTCAACGTTGCCAAGGTGCTATGGGAAATTAAAGTAACAATATTAGAAAAAATAAAATTACTAAAAAGCAGRACTGGTTTCGTTTTCTCCAGGTGGGGTATGTCATGACTACTTGAATTTACTTTTTAATCATTTTATGTTTGCCCACTCTCTAGTTCTCTGGTTGTAATTTCATGTTTTTGATTGTTTATTTGTTTCTGGAGCAGGGAGTGTGGAATTTTATCTTCAAAACAAGGGTAAAGAACTGTAAAGTCTGTTTAAGATTCTGGGTGTTTTGTTGTTGTTGTTGTTGTAGTGGTGGGAATTGAACCCAGGGCCTTGTGCATGTGAGGCAAGCACTCTACCAACTGAGCTATATCCCCAGCCTACCTCTGGGGTTTTCTTGAGTATGTGGGGAATATAAAGAAAATATAGCTTTTTAAACTCTTTTTTTCCCCTTAGGCAAAGACAAAAAAAAAGCTAAGTAGATCTCAGGCATTTGAAGAGATGTCATCTGTAAATTAAGGTGATAGTTTGACTTTTATTGAATATACTGTATTGCTAATAAAATAAATATTTACTATTTTGTGTGGGAGAGATTGTGGGAAATGAACCCAGGGGCACTTTACCACTGAGCTAGGTCCCATTCTCATTTATTTTAGAGTCAGGGTCTTGCTAAGTTTCTTGGGTTGGCTTTGAACTTGAAATCCTCCTGCCTCAGCCTCCTGAGTCATTGGGACTTCAGGCATGTGCCTGTAATGTAAAAATAATATAATTTTTAAAACAACCATATCATATAGAATAGTATTTGCTGGATGCAGTGGGGCACACCTGTAACCCCAGAACCTTGCGAGGCCAAGGCATTCAGATCACAAATTCTATGCCAGCTCAGCAAGTTAGATCTACCTCAAAAAGGGAAAGGGTGTGGGGGGAGGTTGTTTCTCAGTGGCAGAGTGCTTGCCTTGCACGTGTGTGAGGCACTGAGTTCATTTTTCAGCACCACATAAAAATAAAAGATTGTGGGGCTGGGGTTGTGGCTCAGTGGAAGAGTGCTCGCCTAGGACGGGCGAGGCCCTGGGTTTGAACCTCAGCACCACATAAAAATAAGGTAAGTAAAGGCGTTGTGTCCATCTTAACCTAAAAAATAAATATTTAAAAAAATAAGGTTGTGTCCATGTATACTAAAAATAAAATGCTTTTTWAAAAATGGTGGGGAGAGGCTGGGGATGTGGCTCAAGCAGTAACACGCTTGCCTGGCATGTGTGGGGCRCTGGGTTCGATCCTCAGCACCACATAAAAATAAAGATGTTGTGTCCACTGAAAACTAAAAAWACAAAAATATTTAAGAATTCTCTCTTTAAAAAAAAGGGGGGGTGGGGAAGTTAGGGGACCTGGGTTTGTAGCTTAGTGGTAGAGTATCCCTCCATTAAATCACGAATTCCACCAATAAAATGTTTGTAATCAAGTTCTAGACTAATACCAAATAAGGACTTCCTAATGTTGCCTGATCTTGCTAGAGAAAGCTACACACTTTTATTTTTATTTTTTTAATATTTATTTTTTAGATTTTTTAAGTGAACACTATTTTTATGTGGTATGAGGATCGAACCCGGTGCCTCATGCATGCTAGATGAGCACTCTACCACTGAGCCAAGACTCCAGCCTCCACAAACTTKTATGTTTTTTGAATTCAGTTTTAGTAGCTGTTAGGGGTTTTTTGGGGGGCGGGGTGGGCAGGTACCAGGGATTGAACTTGGGCAATCAATTGATGAAGCTGAATTTGAATGCAATCCTCCTTTCTCAGCATCCCAAGCTGCTAGGATACACCGTGCCCGGCTTCACAAGTCTTCTAACTTTCTGTACTTCTCTGATTTCTGTTGTATACCTACTGTATCAAATTTAATGAGCTACATGGTAAGATTCCAGCCCCTCCCAATATTACATTGGTTATCTTTGTTTTTCTCCCTTTGTGGGGTGTGTGTGKGGGGGATGTAGTACTGGGATGGAACCCAGGGGCAATATATCCTTCCCCTTTTTTTATTTTTTTTAACTGAGTGTTAAGTTGCTGAGGCTGGCCTCAAACTTGTGATCCTCCTGCCACTGCCTCCAGTGATTCTTTTTGTCTTTACACATACTATTTGTAATTCTTTTTCTTGCATGCTGTAGATGAATCCAGGGCCTTGGGCATGCCAGGCAAGCACTCTACCACTGACTGAACTACATCCCCATCCCAACATGCATTTGTATTTTGAATGATGCATTTAAATCTTAATTTTGATTTGCATTTCAAATTTGCATAGATAAGTAAATATCAGTTTGATTTATCAAAATCAAGGATATGACTTAGTACTGAAGCTAATCATTTAATCAGTGTCACATGCTGATTTTCCAAGTAGTAYACTGGGTAGCAAAAATTGGATCCCTGCCCATATTGTATTTTCAAAATAAGAACAGATTAATAAGAAATAATTTGAAAATTGGAGTTCAAAGTGGATTGAAGTTGGGGATGGTACAGGGATAGAGTCCTTTGAGTTACTGAGAACAGATCCCTGAAGGAGGKAATTAGATTGGGGGAGGCTGAAGCCAAATGATACTTGATGGATAACACGTTTTCTACGATGAAGCTAGAGAAGGAGGCAAAAACCAGGCTCTTGGAATTTGAAATATATTATTGAGAACATGTGGGAGACCAGGTAGGTTTGGCCTGATAACAGATGTAGCAGAGTGGGAGAGTTGAATTGCAGAAATCATGCAGTCAACAGGGATGCATATGGATTAGATGGAGGAAGATAAACTAGTTGTGTGGCATGTACCTTCAGAGTTTGAGGCTATCCTCAGTTACCTAGTGACATCCCATTTCAAAACAGGAAAAGGAAGGTGTCAAAACTGACAAATTGTGATGTGTGGAACTAGATGGATGTTGGTGCCATTTACTGTGATTGTATTACATTGCAAAGAACCCTTAGGAGGAAAAAATTATGAGTAGTTTTGAAATGATTATGCTTGTTTCTGCAGGATTATTTTGTGATCGCGACTCAAAAACAGTTTTTTTTTTTTTCAGGTAATTTAAAAAGTGACTGTTAGGGACAGTGCTAAAATTTTTTTAAAATCTGTTCCCCTTTCTCTATAGCATTTTGTTTTTGTGGAACTAGGGGTAAACACAGGGTCTGACATATACTAGGCAAGAATTCTACCACTGAGCCATATCCCCAGTCCAATTTTTGCATCCTTTGTCTCAGTAATAATCCTATTTCCCACTTGGACTGTCTTCACCAACCATATGCAAAGATTTGACAATTTCATTTAAGATTTATAATGTTRCCAGACCTCACCAGTAAGGTTAGCCACATACTATAGAGGGAATGTTAACCTTTTCATAACCAGAAGAAAACATTGACTTGACATTTTTCTGGATCTCTAAAATAGACTGATTTTATGTCTGTAAGCAAACCAAGTATGAACTAGAAATCATGTAACACCAATAAATATGACTTGGAAGATTATAGAACTTGCATGTCTGTCAAACCTTTTCCCTGTGTTTTTGTTTTATGTTACTGGGAATTGAACCCAAGGGCATTCTATTGAGCTAGATCCCAACCCTTACTTTTGAGATGACCTTGCTAGGTTGCTAGGCTCATTGTAAATTTACAATCCTGCCTCAGCCTCCTGTGCATCTGATTGCAGGTGTGTACTGATGTGCCTGGCCCCAAGTTGAATGTTGATCAATATGGTTAGGTAGAAAAGGAAGGGACATGCTAGCCCAAGTGAGTAAAGACAAAGAGATGACAAATGGAAAATTAAGCATAGTAGTTTGAGCGGAGCATAGGTGTTTTTTTTTATTGTTTTTT